GGTTTCTAGGATGCTTGAAAAACTCTTGTTTCTTGTTCTGGGTTCTGATTATACAACTTTGGTTACTTTGTGAAATCCATTGTGTTGTTCAGTTAGGAATTTTTCACTTTTGTGTGGATGTCAAAATTTAATGAAGGGTTCACAACTGGGAGGAAAGAGAAAGGAGAAAAGTACTATGAGATCCTTGATTGTTGCTTAGAGAATAAATGAGAGAGGGTATAAGTTAAAGCTGACAAAGCAAATAGCACACATTGAGTTAAGAAGAGGACTAAGGGCACAATAGTGTGTGTGTGTGCATGTAGCAGTTACCACTAAAACAAAAATACAAAACTTTCTCAATACAAACAAATCTGATTTAAAAACAAAGAAAACTATTTATATAAAGAACCACAGAAAATATGTCATATGCACAGTAAAATTAATATAAACTGTTTAACTTATAAACAAGTTATAACTTTGCAGTCATAACAATTACAAATGGGTTTAATTTACTTATTTAAAAAAAAATCTGTATATTGGGTGAAAAAATAAAACCTAACTCTGTGCTTCTTACCAGGGACTCACTCCCAGGGATTCGGAACAGCTACAAGAGTGGGAGCGTCATCACTGCCTCTTGTTCTGTCCTTAAATGTGCTCATCACTGAGGGATTTCTGTTTGTTACTCTGCGTGCGATTGCACTCCCTGAGGTTCAAAGTTTATTGTGTGTTTCCTGCCCCAGTTCTAGAATCAGTCCTTCCTCCAAGGAAAATCAAAGCTGGAACAATTTGAACACCAACATAAAGGTGGTATTGGATTATAATACAGTATGAAATAATTTTGTTAATCCACGCTGATATAAATAAATGATTTAATGTATACATATACGGGGAAGATAGAGAAAATTCTCATGCAGATGAATTCTACATAATTATGTAGATAGTCTGACTTCAAGGAAGAGGAGCATAACTTCTCACCCCTCAGATATGGGCTGCACATAGTGACTTCCTGCCAGAGGACACCGACAGGGTCAGGGCAGAGTGACTCTGTGGCAGAGAAGCCCGAGAAATGCAGCCTTGGCCAGATAACCAAGGTTAGCATCAGCAGTCAGAAGTCATGTGGATAATTCCTATACTTAATCAGATGTGATGAGAAAGGCACTTTACCTTGTGGTCCTCATCCCCTAAACACGTAATCCCAGGACAATCATGAGAAAAACACCCATATATTTCAGTAAAGGGACAGTCTATGACATATCTTATTAGTACTTCTCAAAGCTGTCAAGATCATCAAAAACAAGAAAAACTCTGAGAAATTGTCACTCTAAGGGGACATGAGAATGCATTCATGAGGTATCCTGTTTGGGATCCTGGAACAGGAAAGGGACATTAGGTGAAAACTAAGGGACTCTGAATAAACTGTGGACTTTAATAATAATATAAGAATATTGGTTCATTAAATATAACAAAAATGCCATACAAATGTAAGATGTTAATAATAGGAGAAACTGTGCATGAGGCATATGGAAACCCTGTATTATCTTTGTAATTTTTCTGTAAATATAAAACTGTTCTAAATATATTGTTTATTTAAAATTATAAAAAGGGGAGGAGCCAAAGTTTTATTAGTTAAATGTAAACAGTGAAAAAGAGAGGATATTACTAGTATATCAGACCAGGGAGAATAAGAAAAAAAAGCTAAAGGAGATGAAAGGAGACATAGACATACGGAATTAGAATAAGTTCTAAACCAAATAATCAATGAAGTCGATCTTAGAGTGCCAAATTAAATGTGACACCCAATAATAAAGAACTTATCTTCATCTGAAGTGGGTCATCAATAAACATTACCTGGGAATTCTTTTATCTACTTATCTTTTCTTTATTGATTTTAGAATGAGAGGAAGGGAGAGGGAGAGGGAGAAACATTGATGAGAGAGAACATCAATTGGCTGCCTCCTGCATGCCCCCCACTGGGGATTGGGCCCACAACCTGGGCATGTGCCCTGACCAGGAATCGAACCAGTGACCACTTGGTGCATGGGTCGACACTCAACCACTGAGCCACACCAGCCAGGCAGGAAATCCTTTTATCAATTGTTTTGATTATTGTTCCTGAAAGTATATATTGAAAAATAAAACTAAATTGTAAAAGCAGAAAAATATCAAATCCTCAAATTAATCTAAACACATATTGTTAACTTTACAGAAAGACAAATGGATATAAATATCTTTTGAACACAGTACCCTGGCTATACAACCTTTATGGAAAATTTCTAAAAACAGGAAGATCTTAAACACCTCCTGGACTTTTACTTGGCTTGATTTTGGCAGTTTCATTTATGTAGTAATTCTAAAGATATGATTAGTTATGTGTGTTGAATAAGAGAATAAATACGTTGATGATGTTTGGTAACCAGAGTTATCTCTGAGGAAGAGAGACACACATATAAATTAGCAAGGTGAGGAAGAACAAAGTAGTATTGGGTTTAAATGGGAAGAATCCCTGTGAATTTTCATTTACATATATATGTATATACTTAGCTGTGCCCACAGAAAGAAACTAGAAAAAAATGGAGTAATGGTCACACCTAGAACCCAGCTCCTGATTCCTATTCTTCTTATTGAACAAACCAGGATCCTTGGAGAAATTCTTGATTCTAGGTCTAAGGTATTTTTTGAAAATTATCGAGGTGTGATTAATCCATAAGTAGATGTGTTTAACCGAGGTGTATAGTCTAAGTCAAGAAATTTAACAGTTTAAATGATGGTACTGGGTTGAAGAGATTTTACTCTCCTGCATGTCATTACAGAAAATTTTCAACATCTTTTCTTATTTTTGATTCACAAGTAATGGCCACATTTTAAATAAAAGCCCCCTTTTTTAAGTAAGCATCTTTTTTTGCTTCCCTTGTTGGACTTTATGATGAGGCTTTAGATGCGATGTTTTACTTAGTGCTTTTTCTAGGGTCTCTTTCCACATGGAGAAGAAGGAACATACAGGCTAATATCCCTCTTGGCTGGTTCCTTAGAGGTTGTGACCATCTGCATGTGCCCAATACAAACTCAATGACAATGCTTAAACACACAGGAGAATTTAAAAAATGTAACATCTGTAAACCATAAAATCATATTATTCAATAAAAGAAGTTTATTAAGATATTGATGCTTTTTTATCAGAATTATGGCTCTTACTGTCAATTAAAGTTATATGTTTTCTAACAATATGGTCTGATTTGAGAAGTAATTAAATAGTTTTGAGGTAGAATTAAAAATTCAAAAAAGTATTTAGGAAATGCAGTCGCTGGTAAGAGACTGTGAAGAATGCTAATGACATAGAGCAGATATTCTTACTCCCTTGCCCAAAGAGAATAAGCTATGTTGTTTTTTTCCCCAATAACAAAGCAACTTGAAATTCTCTTCTAAAGGAAAAATTGGTGCAGGGGCTAGGTGGCAGAGACTCTTGGAGAGATGGGACCCACTTTGCTTTGAGCCCACTTCCCTCCTTGCTGGGCCTGAAGGACCCATGGCCTCTTGGATTGCACTCCTAGCTCTGGGGATTGGCCCACTTGGTGGGAATATTCGCAGAGCAGGGTAGAGACACCGAGCAACACCAGGGACAGCACCACAATATGGGCTTCGCACAAAGTGATGACTTCACCCAGACACAGCAGAGTTCCTTTCTGTGCACAGGGCGGGCTACCCCATAGTAGATGGGGCACCACTTCAAAATGGTAAGTGCACTTAGAGGAGGAAGACGGGACCAGGCCAGCAGATGAATGAAAACTCCTTCCTGGTTCTGATGTGTATGGGTGAATACAGAACAGAGTTAAATCCACATTTCTTGAAAACCAGCAACAATAGTTAGAAAACAACTGCCATCTATACTCAAGACCACCCAGTGCATATTAGAATTGAACTCCTGCCATCCCTCTGCCTAACCACACTGCACTGCTTACTTTGTGGCAACCCCCACAATGAGGTAGGAATGCATTAGACACGATATCCCCCATGGCCCCAAATATGAAGCCAGGCAGAAGCCCCTGCTATGGGCATTTTCATTAGCCAGTAATGATCAAATCCTTCGCTCAGGAGAGTAGAGAGTGGACCTGTTGTCTCCTGCTGCTTTTCTCACCTTGAAGTCACCTATTGCTCCCACAGTCACCAGGTTTTGGGCTCCCTGCTTCCTCAACATCACATCACATTTCCTCCTCCTCAGTCCAGCCTGGTAGCTTGTTGGGTTCCATGGTCCATGAGGTCCATGAGAAAGTGATGGGATCGGTTGAAGTCAAAAGAAACTGAGTTTGGAAATCATTCAAATATAAACTCATTAGTGACTATTCAGTGGATTGCTCATGTTTTCTATATTTGTACTTTTACAACTACTCTTCTGGCAAAATTCACCCATTCATTTTCTTAGCAGTTTCTTAGAAGCATTTCAGTAAAAGAGTAGATGACTGAGTTTTGAACTGGCTTTTACCAATACATGATCATGGTCATGTATTTGCCTGACACAATTTAAATGACCCAGTGTACTTGGAAATCAGTAGATCTAACTCATGTCATAGGAATAATTTGTGTCACCTCTAGGCTTTGTCCACATTGTCCTCTCCCCTTGGAATGTTCTTCTCTTGGATAAATCTGTTCCCTTCCTAGGTTCCTGTGCACTCCCTCAGTACTGCCTCCAATCACTTGTCCCCATGTCAAAGCTGTCTGTTTATCTTGTCCCTTTGGAGCGCTGGCTCTAGGAGAGCAGGAACCGGTTACCTTTTCGTCTGCTGTATCCGAGTGGAGCACAGAGCCCAACATACAGTAGTTGCTCAATAAATATCACTTTATAAATGAAAAAATGAAATGACACCTGGCCTCTTTGAACCTTATCTTTACCTAAAGTATTTGTGTCTTGATTTCTCCTAGATTCATGACATTGTTGTAGGTGCTTTTCCTTGTTCTTAAAATTCTTCTCCCGAGATTTTAAAGGTATCTGAGAAATATGCAATTAATTACATAATAAAATACTTAGCATTTTTCCAGGGCAGGGGAGATACCATGATCATGAAGGTAGTTTTTCCAGGGCGAGACTTACTCATTGCTCTTTGTATGTGCTGATCCCTACGATTTCCTCAAACATGGGAAACTCAACTGCAAAATATGTGGTACTGGGGGACTGGGTTCATAACTTCTCTGGTTTTCTTAGGTTCTAAAACCAAATACTTTTGCCAGGACTGTATATATTTGTGGAATCAAAATTTTAAGCTTACATGTGGTCATTATTTTTATTACCAACTCTTTTTGTGTTATAAGTCCTTATAAATAATAATAAAAAGTACTTAGTAATCAAAGTGCATCATAACAAATACACATATAAAAGTTAGTATGTAAAGGAGACAATGAGAAAAACCAATTGTTTGTTTTCTACCTGTGTTACCTTTTGTGGTGGTAATTAATATGTGAACTGTAAGGTAAGACTGGCTTAATCCAAAAGTCTTGTCAGTTCACTAACTGTATGCTGTGTGGGTCTGATGTCCAAGGCAGGCAAGGGGAGTGTTAGGGTACAGACTCTGGCACCAGACTCCTGGAGTTCCAACCCATGTGTTGCCACCTGCTTTCAGGGTGGAGCTGGGAAAGTCACTCCCTGTCTCTGTGATTTGGTTTCCTTATCCATCAGGTAACGCTATTTCGTTTATGTTGGCTGCTTGATCATTATGAACGTGAAGAAGAAGGGAGCAGGGTCCCCTCATGCCCTGAGGCATCATGGTGGAATGGAGAGTGTGTCAGTATGCAGATGGGTGCTGGTGTACAGGTGGGCACTGCCACAGGGGCACATGCAGCAGTGGAAGAAAGAGATCTGGAAACAGCCCAAATGTCCATCAGTAGACAATTGGATAAAAAAGCTGTGGTACATATACACAATGGAGTACTATGCAGCTGTAGGAAAGAAATATCTCTTATCCTTTGAGACGACATGGAGGGACCTGGAAAGTATCATCCTAAGTGAAACAAGCCAAACAGAGAAGGACAAGTATCATATGATCTCACTTATTTGTGGAATATAATGAACATAACAGTCTAAGGAATGGGGTAGTCCCAGAGACGTGGAAGTGGGGTACAGACTGACAATCCCCAGAAGAGAAGGTGGTGGGGGAGAGATAAACCACAGAACTTATATGCATGTGTGCATGAACAGTGAACATGGACAACAAAGTTGGGGACAGGGCGGGGAGGGAGGAAAGGGGGAATCAGTGGGGGAAAAGGAGAAACATCTGTAACAAAAATAAATTAATTAAAAAAACAAACAAAAAAAGCATAAAAAAAGAATGAACATAATTTAATCAACTTTTATTTAAAGGATGGTATTTCAAGGAAAGAAAACAGCATGAAAAAAAATTTTTCTTAAAGCACCAAGAATTCATTTCTACTTTCCCTGTGTTTGCCCTTCACCAGAATTTACAAGCCATGAAAAAAGTTAATGAAAGACAAATCTAACCAAAGTTTCGGCTGGACCAGGATGTGGATGTTCTTTTATGGGAAAATCATCTCAGTTGCCTTGGTTTCTGGGCTGGAGAGGAACACCTGGCAGGCCTCTCTAAACAATAGCAGTCTAGGACATGCTGACTCGACATCCTTTACCAAACTCGTCTTCATGGTGTTCCAGAAGGGTAAATGTGTGTCTTTGGATACCTTTTAGATCAACGAGCCCATTTATTAAATGACAGAGCAAAAGTCAGTTTTGGACCAGAAAAAAGCAAACAAACAAACAAACAAAAACGGGCCTGAACCTTAACCCAAATGTCAAATGTTACAGTATCTAGAATCAAATATTTCTTTAAATAAAACCAATGGAACACTATACAGCTATAAGAAAGAAAGATCTTTTATCCTTTGAGACAACTTGGAGGGACCTGGAGAGAATTATGCTAAGTGAAATAAGCCAATCAGAGAAAGACAAATACCACATGATCTCACTTATTTGTAGAATATAATGAACAGAAAAAAAGCTGATGAACAAATAGACCTAGAGACATAGAAAGAAGTACAGTTCAGACTGACAAACTTCAGAGAAGGGGGCAGGGGAGAGGGATGAGATAAACAAAAGAACTTATATGCATGTATGCATAACCAATGGACATAGACAACAGTGCTTGGGAGGGAGGTGTCTAGGGGGCTGGGGGGGAAAGGAAAAACATCTCTAACAAAATAAATTAATAAAAAATAAAAATAAAACAAACAAAAAATTATTGAGTCTATTTTAACATATGGATTTTCAACATGATAGAATTATGAAACTATCCAGAGTACACAACTTTCCCATATTTGCATATTTATCATTGCTCTCTGGGACACAATACCCATGTAAACGGGAATTTACAGTCACCTATTAATCTTTAGGTAGTAATAGGGGACTTATCACTTCAAAAATAAGCATGTTCAATCAGAAATGCAATGCTCTCTTGTTTTTGAAGCGACTTTAAAGTAAAGCTTGTTCAAGAGTATAGTTAGAACCTTGGCCTGTTTGGCTCAGCTGTTGGATCATCAGGCTGCGGACCAGAAAGTCCCGGGTTCAGTTCCCGCTAGGCCCTAGCAGCTAGGGGCAAGTACAAAAAAAAAAAAAAAGAGTGTAGTTTGCTACTAGTTTTTAAGACACCAGTGATGGAATCATGTTTTATTAAATAGCATGATGCATCCCATAGAGGAGTGATGTAAGCCCCAAACTTACTTACCTTCAGACTGTAAAATAATACTTTGAAAATATTACAGGTGTCCCCTGTATATGAGAGAGCTATTGGTACAATAGGTGGTGGTGGTTTGAACTCTTTACTTCTGTTTAAAATATAACCATAAAAGGAGCCCAAAAAACTAGCTCTGGTGTTCCAGAATGGAATTACGTTTGTGGAACAGACCTGCTGTCAAGACCGTCCAGTTTTCGCTAACAAATAGATGAGAACATAGGGAATTCTGGCGGCCATCATGCTGACGGCTGGAGTTGAGTACTGTGGCAGGAAGTTGTGTAATTCAAGTATTGAAAGCCGCACTGAGCCAATGCAGATTCCAGAATGATTCATTTTTACAGTTCAAGGATATTCATTCTCCCTTTTGAGATTTTTCTCTTTCAGAATGAGAATATAAGAGCAAACAAAGGATTTTAGAAGTTGGGTTTTTTGGTGTTAAAAGCCCATTGTAGGAGCACACTGTCCCATCAGAAGCTGATTTCTGTAGATGTTGAATACACAAGTATAAAACATAGTTCCAAAACAATATTTGTTTTTAGATGAATAATTCACTCATTTTCCCTGCATGAGTTTTTCTCATCTGAAGCAATGGCCTTTCAAATTAAATAAATATAATGTTTCAAAAGAATATGGGCATGAATATTCATAAAGACCAAAACAGTGAGTATAAATAAAAGTCCTTTTACGTAACATTTTTTTTTGAGGACCTTACTTTGTGTGTGTGTGTGTGTGTGTGTGTGTGTGTGTGTGTGTGTTTTAACACTTTAGACTGATGTTCTTCAAAGTGACTTTTCAAGATTTCAGAACATGATTTCTTCTAGGTAGCCTACCTATTGTTATTGAGGTAGTAATGCTTCTTTTCCAAATAGTTTTATACAGCACTATTTTCCTTTACATCTATAGATACAAGGTAGTTCTTGCTGTGGCTCAGCCTATTAGCCATAGCCTAGCAGCCTAGCATGGTGTCAAGCCCTCAATAAAGTGTTTGTCTAGATAACTGGAGGAGTCCGGCCGGTGTGGCTTAGTGCATCGACCCACACACCAAGAGGTCACTGGTTCAATTCCTTGTCAGGACACATGTCCAGGTTGTGGGCCAGATCCCCAGTGGGGAGCATGCAGGAGGCAGCCAATCGATGTTCTCGCATGGATGTTTCTATCTCTCTCTCCCTCTCACTTCTTCTCTCTCTAAAATCAATAAAGGAAAAGAAAATTTTTTAAATAATTGGAGGAATGTCAAAAAAGTCAAACAAAATAAAGTAAGATCGTGTACCCTGAAAATATAGCTAGTTCATACACATAAAGCATGGCAGAATATTTTTAGGGGTTATATATATGTAAGCCATAATTTAAAGGCTAAAAACACAGACATGAAAAATGTGTGTTACTAGATACCGAGAAGACAAGCAGTGAAATTCTCTTTATCCAGCACTTTAAGGGCTGGTGGAGCTAAGAGTAGAATGAGATGGCTAACATTTGAACAGAAAGAAAAAGATACATAAAAATTAAGACTGCAGTTATTTCGCCCAAACAGTTGGTTTATTTATTTATCTTCACACAAGGACATTTTTCTATTTTTTTTCAGAGTTGGTGTGGGGGGAGACATCGTTGTGAGAGGGACATATTGACTGGTTGCCTCCCGCATGGCCCCAACCAGGGCCAGGGACAAACCGCAACCGAGGTATGTGCCCTTGATCTGAATCGAACCCACGACTCATCATTCTGCAAGCTGACGCTCTAACCACTGAGCAAAACCAGCCAGGGTGAAACAGTTGGTTTAAGAGAAGCCAGAATACTGTGATGTTTAATTCATTCTGTGAATGGAGTTGTCAGGGTGTCCTTATTGCATAATCACTGAGATTATTGACAGTAGGAGAGCACTGTAGTCTATCGTATAACACTAGATATGCAAGGCTGTACCTGTTTGTCTTTGAACACACAGCCTCAAAATAAATGCTAATTTAATGGCAATGTATTGTATAATGTAAATCTGAATGTTCATGAGAGTGAAGTTACTATAATTGCAGTAGGAAAGGTTAAATGTGTGGCCTTATTATTGTCTGTCCAGTATTCACTTGTCAATTGAAGGGGTGGGAGGTTCTTCACATGCACTGAGGGCTTGTGCTATTCTGGGACACACGGAAAGGTGGCCATTGAGGGGTGAAAAGGTTCATGGAGTCAGTTTTGTAAAAATCTAAGGGCAGAAAGCAGAAAGCTATTTACCACCTTCTGAAAAAAATGATTACAAATCATAAGAGTGCCCCTTATTTTCTCTAATCATATAACTAGAAAACATGATAAATAGACATTTTCTAATAAACACGATTTTGCCTGGTTGCTTCCATTTAAGTGGACTTGTGTGTGTGTGTGTGTGTGTGTGTGTGTGTGTGTATTGCATTTGATGAGAAAATAATTTTTAAGGAAAAGGACTTTCTGGTATTGGCACAAACTATTTTGAA